TCTTTATATAAAACTGTTACCTTCGCTAGTTGCATTTGACAAGGAAACACACCGTTTATGCGTCTACGATACGCTGGGCTTCCGTACTCAATAGTGAAAATAAAATTGCCTTTTTCCGACCCGGTTCGACACACTGCAAACCCGATGCTTCAAGGTATGTCAAAAACCCACGCTTCCATGCTGGCTAAGCAACTACCGGTGGACCAGGAACAGCCAAAAACACGGCCGGAGGTGGGAATGCCATCGAACCAACCACAATGGAAGAGGAAGATGAAGTCATCTCGAAGGTTGGAACAAACTGAAGACCCCAGTGAAGATTGAACAAAATAATGTCCCACGCGAACTGATCGCACTAAAGGAGGAGAACGCAAAAAAATCATTTAACGTGCGAAAATCTCGAAAACCAAAAAAAAAAAGACATGAAAATAAATATGGAACCAGGGAACGAAAGAAAATCTGTTATGCGCCGGTATTCCCAACCACTTGACCGGGACGCGGAGCGCTGCCTACTACTCGAACAAGGTTACAGAAATTCAGCTCAAACTAAAGACATCCCATCCTCGTCGCCAAAATGTACTATTCCGCCTACGGGGCGCTAAAACTATGAAAGACTCATCGGACGGAGGTGCCGGTGTTCCATGGCCGAGCCGGAGAAGCCGTCTTCCCGAGTGAACCCTGTCTGGTTTACCCGGTGGCGAAAGGAAATACAACCGTCCTGTTCGAGTGTTGGCAAAACGTCTGACCGAGCGCTGGCCTCGAGGCCGCAAGCGCGTGGCACCTTCTTTTATTACAGAACGAATGTCCGTTGTTATGCCATCTTTGACAAAACTAAAAAGACCGACAAATGTAAATACTACATCACCCTAATTTGTAGCCATATCTAGCCATTTAAGGTTAATCTGGTCAAAGATGCTAATAGCCAACAAAAGCTACTTGAAGCCTTTCATAAGTGTAAACAAACAAAAAGTCACATAATCATCAATATTAATCAGTTCTAGTCACTTAGAGTCATTTCAAGTCGATCTCATAAAAAATTGATGCCTATTGCCAATTATGGTCACTTGGAGCCAAGAACAACTAATAAGACATGTTTTGGTAGGAACAAGACAAATAAATCAACAAGCTCAGAAAAGGTTAATTATTTAGATTGTACAAACTCGCTTTATAAATCCTGACAGGTCTATACAACACACTGCATTTTGACATCAAAATAGCAAGACGTCCAATATCACGAGCTTATGCTCCCTATGCTCCATGGAAAAAAAGGAAATATTTCATAGACTATCAATTTCTCTAGTGAGTCACACCCACTTGATTCATTTCCGGGGAAAGTGGCGAGGTGTCCACTCGATACCGCCAGGATCGCTTTTTACTTCCGTCTCCCATTTTACAGCGGAGTTTCCTGTATTAGTCTCTACGGTATTTGTCGACGTGGTCGGCGTGGTGGAAGCTCATCGTTCTGCCTAGAGCGCTATTCCTGACCGATTTCTCGTCACGTGTCGCCATGATAACCCAGCACTTCCTGGTAGGGAAGATATATCTACTCGTGCAGTGAGGATGTGGCGTCACTCGTGCAACTAAATAAGTTACGCTTATTTAGTAAAGCTCATTTAGTGGCTCATTTAAGCTCAGCTCATTTAGTGGCTCTATAGCAGCACCTTCCAGACACCAGAAACGCTCTAGCCGTCGTGTTTGTTTACTTCGAGTACGCTGGTGCTCTCTTAGCATTTGTCTCCTCGAATATCGCCCGGATTTCTTATTTTGCTCATTCCATGCGTGTGATCAAGTTCAAGATATTACTGGTGCGTACTGTATTTAAAGGCGTGCATTCGAATTTGGACGCATTTTCATCACCCGATAGAAATGATTAGTGTTAGCATTCCTGATGAACCGCGACCTCTATGTGATCACAAATCATATTTCTACGTTGCTATATCTCTGCTAAGATTTCGTTGTCGTGTGCAATCGCAGAGAAGGCGTGTGGCGAGATTTGTACTATCAGTCAAGTCGTGTTTTAAAACCGTAATCTTCCAAGACGGCGTACTGTAATTTTTTCTTTTTTCGTCCACTCTGCCCTGCGAGCCTATGCTGACAAAATAAAAGTTAATAAAGCTTAAGGCCTAAGAAAACTTGGTGCATTTTCGGCTACGCTAGTAAGTGACAGCGCGTCGCCCTTTTTTAGAGATACCGCGGAAACGGCTGACAGTGGAGGAGAAGCGGCTGTCGTGCTTACGGCCTGCTGCGCTTCATACGGATGTATGGGACCAGTCTCATGCTCTCGCTGTAGCGCTACATATCTAATTGAATTTCGCTCAGCTGCGACGTGTCCATGACTATCGCAGTGATGAGAGGCGGCGATTCAGAAAATAGGTCGGTGGCATCGACGCCATCGGCGCAGTAAAAACCTGTGGTAAAACATCATTATCCTACTGCCGAGAGAAATTCCGGTTCCGGTAACAGAGCATCTGATGACCGTCTCAATTACGCCGTGGCTTATTTTGCGGTGAGTTGGAGAGGAACAAAACTCGTTAATATTGTTCGTGTACAAAGTAATAACCAAACCAAAAAAAAAAAAAAAAACGAATGCCTGTGTGGCCTTCTGTGAAAATTGACGGTTTCATGTAAAGGTTATTTGGCAAAAGTAAAAAGGTCATTTCATGGTTCCTTTAAAGCTTTTCTTCTTTTTCTCCTAATTTTTCACCCTTCGTATGAATGTAAAATAAACCTAATTATTATTGATATTATTATTACTATTATTATTATTATTATTTTTGATTATTATTATTAGATTTGGATTATTTTCGTTATTATTATAATATTATTATTATTCATCGCTATGTGTTTAGAAGTTCCAGATCTTACTGCAGCAGACAAGCTCCGTGGCGGCTGAATGGCATACTCATCAACGGCGTCTTTCCACGCACCCACTTGAACGTCTACCACCATGCGTGCTGTTCAAAGCGTGCCGTCATGTATCACCTATAGCAACATACGGGTCAAAGCAATATACTTCCATAAAGCCCTGCATGCAACACGGCGCGCGTTGCACTCTGGGAACTAGTTGGCCAGGGAGGAGAGTGGCATGGTTTCGGTTTCGATCGACACGTCGACTAGAGGTCCCACACAGAGCGTGGACTATTAACGGCCGTTATCTCATGCTTTCCGGTCCCGAGAGCGTCATTTGTGGTCTCTAAACTAACCTAAATGGCCAGACCTCGAAGCTTTAGCACAACCAATAAGTATGCATACATTGAGCTCGAGCCAGTTAGTTTAGTGCGTCTATAGAAGAAATATAACTTTTTGTGATTACTGTTTTTCTTAATACGCCTGAGTACGCGAGGTAAAACTCGGAGGCGCCATTGAAGAGCTCAGTTTGAACACACTTCTCATCTCTTACGGGTACTGCCCCGCAGTACTGCACGAAGTGAAGTTTCCACCCGCTTGGATTCCACTAATATTCAACATCGCGTATGCGCATAAAGTTATCCTGCAACCATATAAGCACATTCGCACATACAAACCGTTTTAAGAAAGCAAAAGTCGAGCACTTGTGTGAAGAATGCCGCACCGTTCGCCGGAAAGGCGCCGGACGGGTACGAACCCCTATGCGGTGCGCCGAACGAACGCACCGCTCAGGCACAGATCTTGGGCGTCTGGAAAAGCTCGTCCAAAAAGGCTTACCGAGGAGTAGGGGACGCCTGTCAGGGCCTCCGTCGTAGCAAGTCGATCTCAGGGTTTGCGAAAACTTAATCTTCTATCAGCATAAAATTTGAGTATGAGATATGTGATGACACAAGGAAGACATCATAGTAACTTTTGTGCAGTAGTGAGGTCGGATTTATTGCGTTTCCTTAAAAGTTCATGCGCCAACGCTGGGCTCAACTTTGATAATCCTGTGAAGATGCGGCTTGCTTTTCGCCTAATGAAGTAACAAAAAGCGGACGCTTGGCGAACAAAATACGTGTAGGACTCAAGGTGACCAAAGTTCAGTTGTAGTTCACTGGTACTAGACGGGGTTACTGACATTGAGCTCAAAGATGCACTCGTGGGGTGAGGAGACTAACCCACGTCTTGGTACGTTTGCATACGCACGCACAATATCCGGTGTTTCGGGAACCAAGGAAAATGCCCCGGTCTTCTTTTTGTATCGCTCGAGAGTGAGTGTATTGTACATTCGTAAAAAGTCAGATAATCGAAAATGCAATCAGCGCGTTCGGTCGCGGCGTGATAGCATGAGATGAACCTGCTCACTCGAAACCGAAACTGAGTAGCCAACTAGTTCCCAGAGTGCACTGCGTGGTATTTCGCCGCGATGGGGCGCGTCGGTTTTGGAAGAAGTCCATTCCACATAACAAAGAAACTCTGCGCAAGACGTCACCGATAGTGGTGAACCCCCGACCTGCCCCAAGCGGCAGACACGCAAAGCTCGACGGGAGACGACGCAAAGCGGCACACGCGTCCGTCTTGGCATCGCCGCAGGCTAGAGTCGCGCCCGTTGTGAGGCCCTGCGAGTGGCGCTGGCGGCGACGCTGACGCGAGCTTGGCGGCGACGGCGACACCTGGTAGGCAGCGCGGCGTGGATCCGAAGCGCAAGTTCGCTGCTTCTTTTTCCAGAAGTTTCGGTGACGTGAGAACGACGCCGAGCTCTGATTAGCTTTAATGGAGAGAAAGACATCGCCGCAACCCCTGCAAAAGAAGCAGATGAGCCTGCGCTCTGCATAGTAATGACGTTTGTGGGGGAAAGGCCTTATCGTCTAGGCTTGTTTCTCAAGTACCCAGTTCCGTGCCATTTGAGTAGATGGCCCCAGAAGGTTGTCTCAGAGTATATGGAAGGTTTTCGCGTATTTTCGTTGTCTCTCGTTCTGATATTTTGACCCTCGTCAAGTTTGCAGTTAACGCTAGAGCGTGCCTTTTCTACTTATTTATTTAGCTTCACTTTACACCAGCTCATGAACTGAACTTTCAACTATAGAGGTGACGACTGAGACACTAATTTGCAGGCGACATCTGCTATTACAACGAAGTGGGTCAGTTCTTCTACGTCGAAAGAATCAGCCAGGTCTTTCGATGCATGGGCATCCTAGTGACGCCCTGCTCCATTGAAAGCGTGTTGCTCAGCCACGACGGAATTGAAGAGGCAGCGGTCGTCGGTGTCCCTCATCCACGATACCAGGAAGCGGCCATGGCGTTTGTTGTGTTGAAGAAATCTTGTGGCGCAATCACCGAGGCAGAGCTCCAAAACTTCGTTGCAGGTAAATCTCAATCTTGACATTGCCTTTATTCTAGATATTTATTTTGCAGCATGAGCATATTTTAGACATGAGAAGTGGAAAATTACACGCAACAAAATTTAATGTAAAATTAAGTAGAAATACCTTAGCTCTTTTTTGGGGTTTATTTTTTGAATGGAAGCCTCTGCAATCTCGCCAACAATGCTATCGCCTAATAGTTCTCCACGTAATGTATTATGAACAATGGGGTATCGATAACAGAAAATACATACTTCAACCTCACTTTATTTCTCACAGACGAAAAAACTGAAAAAAAAAATCAAGGACCTTCTCATCTAAAATCGACATCTTCGAAAGCTGTTTCTTTTTTTTCGAGCTAATAATTAAGCTAACAAAACTACATCTCGCAAAAACAACAAAAACAGCAAACACTCACCGAAAACATTTAACACTACTTACGTGCGACGGCATGCATGAAGAGGCATTGCGTTGCGCTGCTTTTCTTTGTGTTTTATTTCTGAGGCGCGTCCTCTTTGACCTTGAACGCTCTCACTGGCTTCGTCACGGAAGCCAGTGAGAGCGTTCAAGGTCAAAGAGGACGCGGCACCTAAGTAGTTGCGCTTTTCTTTATTTTTTTATTTCTGAGGCGCATGCTTGGTGACGCATTTATGTGACCATCTTTCGGGCACAACGCCGCCGCTTTTTCGCGTAATGGGACAAGTAAGGCTCTCGCCTTAAAACTTGGTTTTGTTTATTTTTGTTCAGGCGCTAATATTTGTTTTATCCTATGTACTTATAATTTAGCGCATAAGTCCTTATAGTGCTCACTATATCTTCCAAGTTGTGTGTTCGTAGAAGGCAGCGAGTACTTTCGTGTGTGTGTGTTTTGTGGCGTCATTTATTTGCTTGCTCCTCCCCCCCTCCCCCCCCCCCCCCGCCCTAATTGCCTCACGGGCGCTGTGGGGTACCTGAAATAAGTAAATAAGCATATCCAAGGTGATAATTGGACACCGCAGGTATATGGGATTGCCCGACTTTGAGGTACCATCCGGGTGATCCGATCACTTCGAAAATATTCCGGTGCGATCGGAGAAGGAGACCAGATGAGGGTTCCCCGAAGAGAGAAGCACCCTCGCGGACCGTTCAGAAGGGGGCTGATGTTCCGAGCCAACAAAAGTATTAAAGCTGTAGATGACGTTGATCCTTCCGGCGAAGCTCGAGTTTTTGTTCTCCGAGGAGAACTCCGGGAAATTTTCGGATTTCTACAATTTCAATAAAAACTAAAATTTTGCAGCTTCTTTTTTGGCGGTTATCAGTGTTTTCGGAAAACCCAGACCCCTAAATTTATGCTATAGATGTTAATTGTACAGAGCTAGCGCTATCCCGACATAAAAGCAAACAAAAAATAGTTCTATAAATAAATCAACGAACCGGGTACAATGATTTACAAAGGTGTCTTTAAGCCGCGCATTTATCGAACTAAAATTTTACGAGTTTAGTGGGGAACTAGAGTAGGGTCCCTACGGGAGCCAGAGTTGCGCGTTCATCCCCGTAGCTCTGTCTTTCCTGCACGGCATGTTGATCCCGCTCATTGTGTAACTGAATTCGGCGAATAGCGGCGCCGCGCGTTCGAGGAGCGCGGCGTGCTCAAAAGCAGGGGAACCTACACCAGGGCGCGTCCAACGTCTGCTTTCTTGACGGCATTTGAGTCTGCTCTTCACGTGATCGAATATCGGCGAAAAGCGGCTCGGCGGCACGTGGAAAACATCCGCGCAACTCTGGCTCCCGTAGGGAGCCTATACAGGAACTGTATGGGGAACTATTTAAGCCAATGCACAGCGGGGGAAATTGTAAAGACCATCAGGGGCGGATTTAGAGGGGGGTCCGGACCCCCCTCTTGATTTTTGCATGTGTAAAAGTTAGGGCGTGAAACGAGGGAGAGGGGGAGGAGTTTCCTGAACATATAGTACAATGACCAACACCTGACCCCCCCCCCCCCACCTCAGGGAATTCCTGCATCCGCCCCTGCCTCTAATTTATGTTGCTGCTCATAGATGGCGCAACATGAAGCAAAAGCGTGAAGGCTTCTTCGATATGAACACCCGAAAGCTTTCACGTTTTTGCAGGGGGGTAAAGTTCGGTGAGGAGGTATGGCAAATCCAGTGCGCCGACATCTGAAATCGCGAGTGAAAGATCGCAAAAGAGCACTACGGAACACGAGAGAAAGAAACCAATGATGCCAGCTGAAGGACGACAGTCGCAATGGTAATCTCAAAAGCTGAAAAATCTCAGCAAAATAAAAAAAGAGTAATAATTTTACGTTTTCAACTCAATTCTGAGCTATTCTAACGCTTATAAAAATTAATATACTCATTGCGCTGCATAACCTCCCTTCTGTTGAAATCTCGGAAATCTGGTGGTTACGCGGTTTCGTTTTCCCGGGGCGCGCCTATCAAAACCACAGCGCGAAGCTGCTTAATTGGTTTAGTTTTGCGTTGACACAATGCCGTACACCTGCGCGCTATGCAATAAGAAAGCTTCGAAAGGAAAGCTTTCAACCGATAAGTACGCAGATGGGTCCTCAGGAAGAACGTGAAATCTAGTAAGTAAGACGTAAAGCTAGTTGGTAAAGATATGCTTGACTCCAAGGGTCTACTTCCATGCTCCGCCGCTTACGGCAGCCAGAATGCATGGACAATTGGCAGACATTTTCCTCTAGAGTTAGTATATGTAAACTCTATGCGTTTTCGCTTCATGTTGCGCCACCTATGAGTAGCAGCATCAACCAGATCGTCTTTATCGTATTCCTTCCTTTGCGTAGACAAACGTTTTTATCTATCCATCCATCCATTCTTGCAAGTAGAAAAAAAAGTGAGTGAGTGAGTGAGTGAATAAACTTAAAACAAGGTTCAAATGCTAATGGTTGGGTGCGCGACCCGGTGAGGTGCCTCCCCTAGACCGGGAAGCCTCGGTCCGCGCTGGCTGCCCAGGCCCTTTCCACCAGGCAACGCTGAGCTAGGAGGTCGGAACTGGCCAGGATTGGGGGGGGGGGGGGGGGGGGGGGGGGGAGGAGGAATGGGCTTTGCTGACACTCGCCTAGCCAGTCGACAAAAGCCAGGCGGCGCCAGCAGAGTGAGATCCCACGGTTACACCCTGTCTCGTTGTAACTTGGCAGGGGGTGAACGAAAAGTCCCATATTGCGTGCCGACGGCTTCGATATGCGCTACGTATACGAGCACAACGAACAGATATTGCAGCATGACGCGGCGCAAAGCCTTATACAGTACTTCTTCGCAGTAAAAACGTACTTCAGGGATACGTAGTCACGCTACGATTGATCCACCAGGGCCGCATAGCTTCCGCTGTACTGTCATGTTATGCGATCACGGCTTCCTGGCCTACCTAGCATTTCTTGCTTCAGGCACCAGATAAACGGTACCACCAAAGCAATAGCTCACGTTTGAACAATGCAGTCACCACTCCCAGGCATACTTAATGTTTCTTGCTTCAGTCGCTAGATTGCGCCAAACCAAACAGCATTGCAGGTTGCCTATACCGTGAGGTACAGTGTGCCAGGTTGGGAGCGGAAAACACAGGTGGCGGAGTAGAGGGTGGGGTGCAAGGCGTGTAGTAGAATGCCGTAGGGATAAAAGTTGCTTTGTAGCAGGCGAAAGCCGGTCGATTCGGCTCTGGATATTCGGGGGTGCGGTGGCGGCAACTGTGGGCCATCGTGGCGGTATTGGGCGTGGATGTCCGTGCATTGTTCAAGAGAAGTGGCCTTGAGGGTGTTCGGGGTCGGCGTGTCTTCGCACTCTTGAGAAACGGCCCGGTCTGTATGAACGCGGGCAGCGGCGTGTGCCGCCTCGTTTCCCTTGAAAGGCTCGTGTTCGGAGGTCCAGACGGTGTGGAGTTCTTGGAGCTGGCGCGCATTTTGTAGAACGTCACAGGGCCGCGGGTGATATGCGGTCTAGCAGGATGTTGCGGCAGGCGGAATGGGAGTCTGTTAGTAGCTGTTATGTATTCGTCGCTAGTGGTTGCCGCCATAGCGATAGCGAGTTCTTCTGTTGTCTCGATAGACGTCGAGGGGATTGTAGCTGCGGTCAGTTCATCGCCATCGGCGGGCGTCTGTTACGCTCACGGCATGGGTTAGTTGTTGGGGGGGTACATAGGGAAGCGTTCGTGTATCGAGTCAAGGAAGAGTTCAGGAAGAGTTCGTACTGGGTTTTCAAGGCTCCTATCCGGGATTCTCCGCGTGCCTTGTTGTAGTTAGGTTGTAGATCATGTCGTAGGGTGCATGTTCCTTGGCATAGGTGCGACCTTGATGGAGTGTCGGATGGCAAGAGGTGTGCGTTTTTTCTGTTCGAATTCCGGAGGAGGCTTACAGCCGAGCCGGCTGAGCGTAGCTCTGCCTGCCGGCGTGAGCTTGAGTCGTGTAAATTGTGAGACTCGATGGGCTTCTTGTAGTTACTCTCATGCATTATGTACGCCGAGCTGTAGACGTTTTTGTGTGGCCGTCTTTGGGGGTAGTCCCAGGGCGGCCTTGTATGGGCTTGGCGTATGGCAATGTTGAGTGTCGTTTTCTTAAAGGCCAAATCAACTATGGGAGACTCTACGGATGAGGTGCATGGGTTGGATGATGGTGCCTTGCATGGGGAGGATGGTCTGGGCGCTTGAGCCATCTTTTGGTATGTTGAGGCCCAGGGTACAAAGGTGTAGGACGTGGGGACGGGTCGGTTGTTAATGGTGAGCTTTGTATCTGGTATGGGGTTTGTGCTTTTCTGGTATGTTGTTTTGCACAGCGTAAAAAGGGCAGATTTTGACGCTGTGCGAAATCTTCTCTTTTGACGCTGCGCCCCCCCCCCCCAATCCCCCCAAAAAACAAGAACAACAAACAAACAAACAAAAAGCAACAACAACAACGACGACAAAGAAGTTATTTTTGGTTTAATCTTTTTAAACCCATTTATAAAATTTTAGAATGATAAATGCACCACCTAAGGCAACCTTTGTAAAAAGTCTAATTGCACTCAGTTTATTAGTTTAATGATATGCATTTTGCTAAGCCCGAATATAGTGTAATTGGAAGTACTTCAAAATCAATGTACTCAAAAAACCACTTCAAGTAGGTTTAGAAAACTTGTACATTACTTGAAGTGCATTCTCTAAATGTGTGTACTTGTACTCTACTTAAGGTATTTTTTTATAGTATTTTCCATGGAAAGTTCACCTTCCGACTTCAAAATGCATTACCCAAATTTGAAGAAGAAGAAGAAAGGCATGTCGTCACGTGAAAACGCGCTGTCGTCTTTAGAGGCGTCATCTGTTAATTTCTTTGAGTTAATGTAATGTCGGCTATAAGACCGAAACAAGCAAGTGCCTTGCAAGTTGATAGAGTTCAATAGATAGTTCGACAGCGAGACTAAATTAACTACTCTGCGACAACTTAACTTTATCCAATATTTGCCGCCATTACCGAAAACAACTGATACAGCCCCATTACCCCTGGGGCAATGCTTCCCAGTTAAAAAAAAAAAAAAACATTGAATAAGGGATTGAAATAGCATCATGAAGATTCTGCTATAGGTACTTGCATCTTTGCAAGTACATTCGATTTATAGTAATTTACTTTCAGTACATGGTGTCCGGTGTACTTACTACATTACTTGAAGTACATAATCTCTCGTTCTTTATTCTTTATTCAATGATTACCCCGCAGTGCCCGAGGGCGTTACAGCAGGGGGGGTTACAAGGATGAAAAGAACACGTCTTCATTGAAACAGCACACTTGCTCTTCAGACAGCCGATTCCACTGTGCAATTGTTCGTACAAAAAAGGAGTTTGCAAACATGCATGTCCTAGCGCGGTACTCTCTAATTTTAAGACTATGATCATTACGACTAGAAACATAATAGGGTTCTTTTAAGTAAGTCTCGCTATTTATTCCCGTTTTATTTTTAACTATTGAGTATAAAAATTTTAGTCGCAGTTTTTCCCGACGTACGGAAAGTGGTTCCCAGTTTAACATTTTTTTCATTTCTGTACAACTTTCTTTCCTCCCGTATCGTCCAAGAACAAACCTAGCCGCCCTGTTTTGTATTTTCTCCAGCTTATCTATCAACGTTTTTTGGGCTGGATCCTAGACAGCACATGCATACTCTAAAATGGGTCTAACACATGTTAAATAAGCAGTTGTCTTTAAGTTAGGTTGTGAGCATTTTAAGTTACGTTGGATAAAATTCATTGCCCTGCCAGCTTTTAAGACTACTTCCTCTATGTGGGCATTCCATGAACAGTCAGATGACAATATGACACCCAAGTATTTGTAAGTAAGTTCCTTGGTTATAGGGTTATTATTTATAAAATACTGAGATTCAATTTGTTTCCTTTTCTTTGTAAAACAAAGGTTAACACACTTTTTGTGATTTAAATTCATTTTCCACGTAGAGCACCAACTTTGAATACGATCAAGGTCTGCTTGCAACTGGGCGACATCATCTGAACTCTTAATCTTTCTATACACTACACAATCATCAGCAAAAAGTCGAATACAAGAGGAAATTCCAACAGAAATATCATTAATATAAATTAAAAACAAAAGTGGACCCAGGACAGAGCCCTGTGGAACTCCTGATGTTACATCAACGTACTCAGATTTCTTGCCATTCAGTACTACACATTGACGACGCTGGAACAAGTAATTTTCTATCCATCTAAGCACAGCCGAGTCTAGATTTAACATTCTTAGTTTGTTGAGAAGAAGTGAGTGTGAGACCGTGTCAAACGCTTTTCTAAAATCCAAGAATATACAATCTATTTGCCCTCCCTCATCGACATCAGATGCAAGGTCATGATAAAATTCAACAAGTTGCGTAGTACATGAAAACCCCTTACGAAAACCATGTTGTTCATTAATCAGCAAGTTGTTTCTTATCATATGACCGATTACCTCTGAATATAAAATATGTTCGATGACTTTGCATGAGACGGAAGTTAATGAAATGGGCCTATAATTTACGACGTCTTTTTTTGGCCCCCCCTTATGGATAGGGACGACAAGAGCTACCTTCCAGTCATCTGGCAAATGGAGGATTTACGTTGTACTCTACTTTAGGTGCGTTTCGAATGTACTTTACCCAACACTGCCCAAATGGCGTTCAGGACTTTTTTTAACTTGTAATTAACGGCTATGTATATTCATCTTTCTTTTAGAAAGTTTCACCTGTGTACGTACTATGCTGAGCTCCTCCATTTCTTCCCAGGTCAACTTGGAACCTACATGCACCTTCATGGGGGCGTGAAATTCGTTGACGCGCTACCGAAGAACGCCAATGGTAAAGTAATGAGAAAAAAACTCCTGATGCTTCATCAAGACGACTAATCTCACTCGTCATATTGTACATTAAAACAAAGCCTCGGTCGGTTTTGATAAGAAGAAATGGATATCAGCCTAATAGCCTTAAAACAAGTATTGTGCTGGTGATGGGAACTTTCTCTAGCGATTTGATATGCGTAGCGCAAGTTCTTCTGCTTCTTGCGCGGGGGTTGCAGTGACGTCAGAACGCCGAGCTCCGATTGGCTCTGATGGAAGGATAGTGTGTAGACGTCAGTGCTAGCTTCCTCGAGGCTTACCCACTATCCTTTCGAACGGAGCCAATCAGAGCCGGGCGTTGTGACGTCACCCCAACCCCCTGCGCGAGAAGCAGAGGAACCTACGCTCGGCATACTTAGGGTAACACTGAATATACTCAAGAAACAGCGGAACCCGGGGACCAGGTGACGTTCAATAAAGGCTTTGTTTTAAACTGTCTTTTTAGCAATAAACGAGCGAAAAAATTGACCGCATTTCCACTTGGTGATTGATGTTGATTGGGGCCAAGCTCTGGTGGTGCTGATAATACTGATTTTATTGTTCATAGCTAGTGCTGATGGTGCCGATTTTTTTTTATTGCTCATAGGTACTGCCGAGTTCCGGGTTGCGTTTCGACTTTATTATTACTGCTTTATGGTCGGTGAAATGCAGAGCCAGTGGTTCTTCTAGCGGATCAGCTTGGATCCGCTAGAACCCGTGGGAACGAATCTCCACCGCTTAAGTCAATAGTCCATGTCAGAAAGAGGATGTGTGGCATGAATCGTGGTTATATACGCATTTGACCGCAGCGCCCTCTCGTCTATAAACGTTGAGCCAATGCATGCCAAGTTGAACGCGATTATATACGCATCTGACCGCGCGCCCTCTCCTGTATAGACGTTAAGGGGCTACATGCAACATTTCATCCGTCAGAAACCCCAGCTCTTGAGTTACTACCCCATCTCAGAGCCCCCAACTCATCCTGCAGTTGTGGCCGAGTGGTTAAGGCGATGGACTAGAAATCCATTGGGGTCTCCCCGCACAGGTTCGAATCCTGTCGACTGCGCAAACATTTTTTTTTTTTACGAGAAAAGAGTCAAAGTACAGGCTAACTGGTGGAAGTCAACCATTTCGTCGTTTACCCTGAGACTGGGGGGGTTTTTTGAAGAGCAGAAGAAACAGAAAAAACAGACAGGTCTCAAACTCAGCTACACGTTTATTTCAAGAACTTCCTCTTATATAGTTCGTTTTCGTCGTCAACAACCAATCACGTACGACTTGTCCTTTGCACCGTGATTTTACAGGTGCAAAGGAACGTGTAGCTGAGTTTGAGACCTGTCTGTTTTTTCTGTTTCTTCTGTTCTTCAAAAAACCCCCCGAGTCTCAGGGTAAAAGACGAAATGATTTTTTTTTTCTTTTTATGTGAGCACAAACGCCGTCCGGCCGGCCGGACGGCCGGACGGCCGGACGAACGAGGCTAGACCCTAAAAAGCTTCGCCCCTAAAAAAAAAAGGTGACCGTGAACATTGCACTATACACAAAAAAGAACGGAAGATATACATTTCCACCGATATTTCAAGTATGCGGAGCGGAACTTTGCCTGCTTCTTGCGCAGGTGTTGCGGTGACGTAAGAACGCCGAGCTCTGATTGGCGCTCAGACGTCACAGCAACCGCTGCGCAAGAAGCAGGCGAACTTGTGTTAGGTATAGCCAATCACAGGTTGACAACGGCAAAGAGGAGCTTCAGTTCTCCCGCCTCCAGCGCAAGTTTGCTACTTTCGACAATGCTTCGGCGTCTCGTGCACCTCGAGCGAGCTGGCAAAGCACGGTGGAAGGCATGGAGCGCGTGCTGCGGGCCGAAGGTTCGGAAAACACGCGCTGTCGTTCATATTCCGTCGGCGTCTATAGCAGCATCTAATTATGTCTACCCCAATACGGCAACGCTCCCCACCCCCCACTAAGAATAAATAAATAATAATCAACATAAATGAAGATAAATATTTTTTTTTTATTTATGAAAAAGCCATCTTCGTTTTTCTTACAATGTTTCGCGCTTCTTACAAATAGCGTAATTTACCGCGTGAAATTCGTAATACTACATGCAAGACACGTCATTTTCGGGATGGACTCTTTGTGTGAATACGGCACAGTCATCGACCTCGGAGAGAACGTTTTGACGCTGCGAAAACCTGCCCTTGCTCCGGAGAAAGCTAGAACGATGCCAGCCGCTGTCCAAATCATCGCCAACCACATGAACCTACTGCCGCAATCGAGTGTTTTCGCAGTTTAGATGACCCAGTAATTTACTGTGGATGTTCATTTTGTTTACTTTTGTCTTGTTTTATTCAAACTTTCATCTGGACGATAAGCTCTTGAAGGGGGCAGTAGCACCGCAAGCGTAGCCGAGAGGAAACACTATTCCATACTTCGACAAGAAGCATGCTTACACTTATCCCAAATGTTGGACGCTGGAATATTCTAGGCCGAATGTTAGAGATATCGAGTATTGTAGATAAGGAGCCAGCGTAGCCTTGCCGACTCACTCCCGCACTCTCGCGCTATCCAGCTGTCATGCCGACAGCTCGATGTCCAGCTTCGCCGATGCACAAGCCCCGTCGTGAGATCCTCTCGCTCTTCACTCCTCGTCGGGGAAACTAAGCGTGGCAACCCCTGGAGGTAAAATTGCCAAAAACCAACGACGAAATTACCCTCCACGAACGTCGAAGGGCCCCCACTCTAACGACGCCGGGCGTCGGAACGTCGCCATCGACGGGCACGACACATCGGCACCGTGACTAGCGGTGCGGATTACTCCGGTATGAGTGGGAAGCTCTCACGCCGCCTTCGAAAAGTTACGACGTCACGACTTGCCCCACAAACTCGAGCTACCGGAAGAAGCCCGGCTATACCCGTCGGAAAGTGCACTGCGCGAGTCAAGATCCATGTTAAGATCTGCCCCGTGAAATTCGTCGTACGACAAGGCTGTGCAAGAGACGTCATCCTCGGGATGGACTTTCTGTGAGAATACGGCGCATTCATCGACCTCGGAGCGAACACTTCGACGCTGTGAAAACCTGTCCCTGCTCCGGATGAAGCCAGGACATAACCCGTCGCTGTCCAAATCGCCGACCACGTGAATCTGCAACCGCCATCAAGTGTTTTCGTAGTTCAGACGACCCCGCAATTTACTGTAGATGGTCACTTGGCTTAGGTCGGGTCACAAAAATCCGGCGTCGGCGTCGGTGGCACCAAAAATCCTCTAATGCAACGCGTGCAGTCACGTGTTACGTCACACGTGGCTGTGACGTCGTGACCGAATCGACCCGCTAAGTTTGGTGTCCAGATTTGGTGTCCAGATTTGGTGTCCAGATTCGTCTCGATGGGGTTCCTGGTTCACTCTGTGTCCCAAGTAACAGGCTTCACTTTTCTTAAGATTAAATTTTGAGTTCCGCAGTCGCAAATGTTGAAGCACACTTCTCAGATTCTTTGTTCCTGGCTGATCAGCTACCAACACGTCATCTAAGTGCATCTGTACTCCTTGCAGGCCGGCCAGCATGGTTTTCATTTTTCTCTAAAAATGCCCGGAACCGACGCAACCCCGAACGGCAACCGGTTGTAACGGAAGGCACCGCGATGGGTATATTAACCACCATCAGTTTTTTGGAATCCTCGTCCAACAGTGCCTGGTTGTACGCGTCTCGGAGGTCTATTGTACTGTACACGACACCGCCACGCAATCGCGCAAAACTTTCCGCTGCGCTTGGCAGAGTACCCTTACAAAAAAATTTAACCAATTTCTACAGAATTTCTAGACATAATTGTGGCTAGAGAGCATAGATTTCCTAGAGAGAATGTATCCACTTTTTTAACCATTGTCTACAGATTATTGGCCGCTGCTTCCTACAGGTTTTGTGCGGACTTCAGTGTACAGATAATGTGGCGACTCTGTACAGCAGACATACAGACTATATCTAGCAACACTCCAGTCCCATTTCTAGCGCCAATTAGAGAGTTTCTAACGAATTGCTGTAGACAAGCGGCCACAGTTTCTATCATCTCACTGTGGAGAATATAGCAGTTTCTACCCATTTTCTGCCCACTTTCTACAGAAAAATCCCCTCAACTCTATCCATTATCTTTGTGTAATGCTAGTTATCAGTTCTGAAGTGTACCGATGCATATGCTGCATGCAGAGCACTTGCTTCATTATACACTCAAAGACCAGACAAAATGTTCTTATTTTTCGTTTTCTTTTATTCTCAGTGGTTGAGCAGTGTTTTGTTGTACTTGTCCAGCTTGCTCAGCATGCTTGATAGGTTGTGCTTGATCTTTGCTCCATCGACCTTGAAAAGTGCACAGATGTGGCCTGGAAAAATAGAGAGAGAGAGAGAGATTTAAATTATTAAATGCATCTATTAAAAGTTGTGCAGCTCCCCACTACTCAACTGGGGAGCATATGCCCCATTCACAGGCTCACTTGCTCGATAATTAGGAAAAACGGGCATGATACGTTGGAAGCCAAATGGGTGGGAGATCATGGATGGATGGACGATAGAGGCTGTAACCTTTGTAAGCTTGCGCCACCAATACAGCTGGCCCGGCCAAACTCTCCAATCAACGCTAAGCTACCAGCTTCTGCCTGCAGCTTTCATAGAAGCCTAGACTTTGCATGGTAATGAAAAAGTTAAGTGTCTTCAAATCGCTGCTCCATTAGCAAGTCTATTTTACACTAGAGACGTATACAGGGTGTTTTTTTTTTTTTTTTAGTTACACCAAATTTTTAAAAAGGGAACTTGAGATAAAGTAATTTGAGCCCTGGGGAAGTGTTAATGGCCATGGCGGCCTCTAGAAAATACGTGAAATTAGGTAATTAGCAAATTTAAAATGTTTTAATTAACTTTTTAATTTTTGAATTGAGGGCGCAAAAAGCACTTACAATTAGCGCTGTACAGTGCCTTTCGGGCCGATCGCTGTGGATTACACGTTGAACTCGTCGGAGATTCTTGGCACAGAGTTCGACACGGTTCAAA